TCAAGAAATATTTCTTATTCCTCGAAAAAAATATTTTTTTACAATCATCTAAATATTCTGCCCTATATTTGTGTAACCTAAATGTATATCGTCCCTCCTATTATAAATATAGCCTCTCTTAACCACTATATTCATCATTCCTTGAAAAACCTAAAACAAAAATGGCGAATAAGTTGCAGTTGTCTTTCTTGAGCGACATAAAACTGAGGAAGATTACATGTCTCATCCAAGTCAAAATCCTTCATACATGGAGACATTTCATGAAAGACATATGGGAGACCATAAAACTAATTCTTTGTGATGCAATTGTAAGTTTATCATTCTATATAAATTTATGATTTAGATATCTTCATTTCGTAAGTTTTATATATATAATATAAAAGATATAGGCATATAAACATATTGATTTATAACTTGATATGCAATTCTATTAGTGGTCAGAGAGTAGCTTGCTGTCTTTGGGTAAATTTGCTGAAAATCTTCACACAGCTAACCAAGAAACAGAAGGCATGGTTATATGTCTTCTACGATTTGCTAAGTTTAGGAAATATAGAGATATTCATTGAAAATGAAAACTTATGTTTCGATTTTGTACTAAATGACCATTGTTTATATAGTTGGAAATATGTTTCCACTAACTCAATGTTTTGATCATTTCTTCAATTTTCTGTTTTATGTCAGAAGAAATTACTCAAATGCTTATGAATTATTTTTGGTTATAGATGATGTCCAAATCTCAAATGCTCATGATGTAAGTAGGACTGCGAATCTGAGTCATCACCCACGGGTCCTGGACCGTTTGACCCGGTGCGGGTCAAACAATTTGAAAAAATTGATTGGCGGGTGCGGGTTATGAGTAATTTATGTGGGGCGGTGCGGGTTGGTAGATTTTGAATCGCGGGTTTAGGCCATGGACCCATCCAATTTTGGTTTCAATTTAATATGTGTTGTAATTCTTCATACTCTCACAACACTTAATTTTCTGATTCTCGGTTCAACCAAAAATTGACTCGTTATGCAAAACTCAATGAAAATACCCTACTAAAAAGTTAAATATACATCAAATTTCATATATAAAACTATCATATAATAGAAATCGAACCATTTGATACATTTTGTTACAACCAAAACAAAACCCGCGCTTCTCAAGCGCGGGTCAACATCTAGTAACTTATTACAAAGAAACAAACAACCGACGATTCAAAAGAAATGATCTCGAGAAAAGCAAACTTTCGGAGATAGATACATTGCTGCAGTGAACATGAAAAATCCATCCAAATTAAAAACACTTTACCAAGTGCCACGAACCCGTAAGTATGTTCACAGGTTTCCTCTTTATGTTCAACCGAGACCACCGTCTTGATAATAGATTCAGAGTCGAGACTTCCTTCATTGATTTTATTGGAGACAAAATCGGTAAAAGATGAACGTATGTCAATGAATCGAGCATTAACTGTAGAAGTAAAGAAGAGAATTAATAAAAGACCGTTAAAAATCGAAGAAAACAATGAAGACGAACTTTAGAATCAAAGTTTTCATCTATCATGAAGAAAATGTTGAATGTGAGAAAGTTAATTTTTTGTTTAATTTTATTGGACTAATATTATTTATTAAAGCCTATATCATTTATAAAGCCAATAAAAATTCAAATTAAAAAAAAAAAGAAATCTTATAACTTAGCCTAAAAAATATTTAACAGATGAAAAGATGACAAGTGTCATTTTTTCTCTTATGGAGAAAAAGAAAACTATACTTTTTATTTATAAAGATGTTGATGGCTTGTTTGCTTTCAGTGGATAGGTAAAAGGCCTATGCGCTACTTTTTATTCATTTTTTAAGTCTATAACAAAATAGGTACATACGAACTTCCTCGGAAATGTTTTTTTTCTTACAAATTTCCTCAGAATTTTCTTTTGACCATTAGTTATCCTCCCCTCGTGGGATCAAATGGATTCTCAACCAGGGGCGAAACCAGAAGTTTCATTCTATGGGTGCATATTGTTAATAAGCCAAAACATAAAACGAAATTAAATATGAGAAACTATGGGTGCATAACATAATTTTAACCATCTATATTATTAAAACTGAAGTACCTTTTCGTACTGTTTGGGAACAAAAATAGCAATAATAAAAAGAAGTAAGTTCGGAAACATTAATAGCAGTATCTTTTTAATATTTCTTTTTATTTACATATTTAGCCATTCCATTTGTAATAAATTAAATCTTTCCTTTTGTATTTTCTTTTATTTACAGATTCTACACTACATTTAAAAGTAATTTAAACTAACTAATTACAATTATAAAGTTCGTGGTATTATTGATAATATAAGAATATCAATTACAACATAGTATATATTATATAAACAATTATTAAATATAGTATTACTTCATTTAATTTAATCAAATAAAAAATCTGACAGTTCAATTTTAAGAGAATAAAATATTATAAAGTTTTAAAAGCAATTTAAACTAACTAATTACAATTATAAAGTTTGTGGTATTATTGATAATATAAGAATATCAATCACAACATAGTATATATTATATAAACAATTTTTAAATATAGTATTACTTCATTTAATTTAATCAAATAAAAAAATCTGAGAGTTCAATTTTAAGAAAATAAGATATTATAAAGAATACTAATTCATAGAAAATTATTGCAAAAAATTATTATTTCATTTTAAAATAAATTAACAAAGAAATAACAGATCAATTTATAAAATTCTTAATATAATATTATGTACAAATAAAAAAGTATTATCAAACATCTATATTTTAAAGTAATATATTTTATTCTATATGTAAATTATAAAACATAAAAATTATACAAGACTTTATTTTATAAAATCATCAGTTATGAATTTTCGTTGAACACAAGTTAAATCAAACACCCGCGCGGGTACTGGTTGGAAATAAGGACACAAGTTAAAACTGAAGTACCTTTTGGTACTGTTTGGAAATAAGGATAGCAAAATAAATGAAACATTGTTTGGAAACATAGATAGTAGATTAAGTATTTTCTTTTATTTGTACATTTAGCCATTGTATTTACAATAAATTAAATACGTTCCTTTTGTATTTCTTTTTATTTACAGATTATCTCATTGCTTTAAAATCAGTTTAAGTTAATTAATTTCTATGATTTTTCTTTCTCTGTAATGAAAATAAAAACACAAACCGAAATATATAGTATACATTATATAAAATAATTTTTAGATATAATATTACCTTATTTAATTTAGTCAAATATAAAATTGTGTGAGTTCAATTTAAAAAAATATCATAAAATTAATGATAATTCATAGAAAATTAATTCAAAAAATAATATTTTAGTATATTGTTTTATTTTAAAATAAATTAACAAAAAACAACATGTTAGTATATGAATAGTACGATTACATCAAATTGCATCAAGTTATAAAATTTCTAATATACTACTATGTACAAACAAAAATTATTATTAAATATTTATATTATAAAATAATATATTTTACTTTATATGTAAATTACAAAACATAAAAAAAAATTGTAAAAAACCAACGGTTTATAAATTTACGTTAAACACAAGTTAAATAAACACCCGCACGAGAGTGTGGGTCAAGTTCTAGTTCCTTTTATTTAACAAGTGTTATAGTTTTAGGCACAAAATTTTAAACCTTATTATTTGGGGGCAAGTGCACCCATAACCCATTACCTACCTTCGCCCCTGTTTTCAACCTTCGGAGAACTCGGTTGATTTCTGATATGGAATTCCGTTCAACTTATTGGTTTTAATTTTATGGTTATCACATAATTATCTACTGTAAATGGCGTAATGTAAAAAAAAAGTGGCGTAATGTACCCTTTGTGCCTTTACATATTTCACTTTCTCAAAATAAACATATACTCCCTCCGTTTCAATTTATTTGTCATTCTAGGTTTTTACACACAGATTAAGAAAACATTTAATTTTACACATTTTCAATACAAAGATACAATTACCAATACACCTAACCACTTTTCAACCAATAGAAAAATAGAATATCATATAAACCTAATAAATTATGTCTCGAAACTTTAAAACGACACTTATTTTGAAACGAAATTTTTCATCTAATTCGAAACGGAGGGAATTCGAAACGGAGGGAGTAAAAAACAAGAGTAGTTACATCCTACTTCCTACATATGCTTCTCTGGATAACACAAATAAAATTACTCATTCTTTTTTACCACAACATATTAATTATTTAATAATTTTTACAAATTAAGTACTTGTACTACATGTTAGTGCAATAAATATTCAAGATTTGGGGGTGAGTTAGATATATACATTATTTCTAATTTATAAGCAACACCCAAAAAATGTGAACATTCAAACAAAAACTAACTATTTTCTGTGGAAGAGTTCCCATGTTGCTGTCATGTGTCTGCGGTGGATTCATTTCCCTCTTTACAGCCAAAACAAACAAACAAACAAAACATGTTCATCATAAATATTTAAGATAGTTTGCTTAAACACACATAGAAAGCCACAATATGATCAAATAATGGAGATGTTGTCTCGAAGGACACGTTTCCATCACACATGCCTTTCTATACCTATTATTTTTTACACCACTTTGATTCTGCATTTCAATAGTACATTTCTTTTCCTCCCGATAATTTCCAAGCCTATTTTTTCTAGTTCAAAAGAGTAAAATAAATCGGAAAGTATTGTGTTTCATCTCGAACTTTTATAATACTAAACAAACTATTTTTTAATTGTTAATGAGTTCATGTACATTTTAAATATTCCTCTTGTGGCGTAAGAAACAGCCACTCAACGTAAATTAAAGCTAGTTTATATGTAAATATAGTTTTAGTATGCAATCACCTAAACATGCATGTAGCTAACGTTATCATGGGAAAATAATAGTCTTCATGTTGGATTGGAAGTAAGGTAAAAACTAAAGAAATAATTATGAAGATACAAGAATTACTTAAGAGAATACATAAAAAGATACAGAAACTACATAAGAGAATACAAATATTAAATCTCATGTTGAACAAGAAAAAAACAAATAAACATAATCATACACCTTTTGCTTGAGGCATCAATAACCTCCAACACAAAAAACGGGAATTAACAATCCAATCCCAATCTACGTACAAACAACTTCAACACAAAACTCACTTCTTTCTAAGAGACCTACTCTTGTTTTCACCCTTTTTCTTCTCTTTTGTCCTACATTTATGATTACCACTATTCTTATCATCATATTGATGTTCATAATCATCATTACTCTTACCCTTACCCTTACTATTACTTTCACTTTTGCCATTCCTTAAAAAGACACCTTCTCTGCTTCTCCCTCTATTGGTCGTTTGGTGATAACTTGGCCCTGAAGAAGCATCAGAAGCCATGGAATCGTCGCTGTCTTTGTTCTTTTCGTACTCGTTGACATATTTTCTTCGAACTTTTTCAGTGCAATGCCCTTCATAATAAACCTCATCACTTACCTCTTCCTCGTCTTCCTCCATAGGCGAAGAAATATACGTGGTCCAGCCAGATTCACTACTGCTGCATTCCTCTCTCTCCATGGACTACTCAAGAACCCTAGTTTTGAATAAGAGAGAGAGGGACAGAGAGGAGAGAGAGGTGTGTGAGAATTGTTTGTTTTGTAGAGTAGTAGTGTTTCGCTTGTGTAGTGGCCCATATATAAATATATAATTTCATGTGCGTGGAAGAAGATCCTTGTGTTTTATTAGTTTAATGTGGTAAGGACAGCTTATATCTAAAGTATAAAGTTACATCCGACATAATTCAAACAAGAATAGCTGTTTTTATGAAAAAGGTTTTGTCTTTTTGTAAGTTATGATTTATGTGTAGTCTTAGTCTTCTCTAAATAGTGTGAGCATGTTGAATAATTCATGTTAGTTTATATATTTAATGGATTTCTGTTAGAGAGAGCGAATTGTGTTTTAAGTTCACATTGTGGCATGAGGGGAATGTATCTTTACACTAAGAATTCTCTGTAACGATACCAAACACGCATGCATCTTTGTGGATATTGGATGTTTGATTTACATCAAACCATGTTAGAGAACATGTCAGGATCATGCCTCCTTTTCATTATCCTCTTCTTTTCTTTCTCATCAGACGCATCGTAACCAATTATAGAGAAATTTGCAACTAATATAAATTATTTGGTACACCTATCATATAGGCTCTCAGTCTTATTAGTGGAAACAAGGAGTGTGGTATAAAAAGAATCCTTTTCCTAAAATCTTGTGTTGCTAAATAGCGAGGGGCCGACTCTGAAATTTTAGAGGCTCTAGATAATTTTGTAAAGATTTTAACTAAATATGTTTTTTTATAAAACTAGGGATTTAAAATTTTGGGACCTTTGTCTATGTAGTTTTTGTCAAAAAAATTGAAGGCATGTTGCCAATGTTTTATTTAGTATGGTTCAGGGTTGGCCATGAAAAACGAATATATATATAAAAAAAAACATATACTGCTTATTTCCGAAAATTCTACTAAGCAAGCAATGAAAACTAGATCTTTAGGAAAACTTGGCGATCTATCTAAAGTCATATTTTGTGTGATTTCTACTTATTAAATTAAGGTTTGCTCCGCGTGAGAATATAGTAAACTCATAGTACATTAGAAAATGTAGAGAGTAGACAGACATCGTAGGTCTCAGGTTAACTGGCACCAATTAGGCCCATGAAATATTAGCTGGCTCAATAGTAAGTACTTCGGGATATTTGTGGATATCTTTTGAACTAGTAAAAGTTTGAAAGGAAAGAAAGTAGGTGCGAACGTCGATCTCCCTAACTTGACATGCACGTAACAGAAATGCCCGATATATTTAGAAGAAAAATATTATCATTTAATGTGTTTACATTTATCATGTCTTCACAGCGATTTGAAAAATAGTATACTGACGTGCCACATATAGAAAAAATTTCAGCCCAAATCTAAATAAAAAGATAATTTACAAAAAATTCGTTATTATCTAGATTTATTTTATTTTACTTAGTTTATTTTAATATAATATTATATTTTATGTGTTATTCTGAATAAAAATTTGTTTTAATATTAATTACGATATCTTTATATGTTAATCAACCGTTGTTATATACTTTTTACATACATATATATGTAAGAGTGGGCAAGAATAAGATAAATGAAGTTTTAGAGGTATTCATGATCCAATATGTTTAGTCCGAATAATCAGTTATCTTATTCGATTCGATTCGTAGCCATTCAGATGTACATTTTCCCAGAAAAAAATTTATTTTAACCAGTTTCGATATGTAAAAATAAATAAAGAAATTATAAATAAATAAAAAGCTAAAATAATAAAATTTTGTTAGAAAAATGAAACGTATTTACTTTTATGAATACTAATACCTAATTTAATAAATTTAGTAAATAAAAATATTGTAAAACTTATATAAAAACATTATTCATATAACTTATATATACACTTCATTAACTATATGTATATATAAGCATATAACGGATCATATCGAATATCTGTTTTTAATATTAGTATTTTTTATTTGCTTCATTTTTATGGATATTAAATATAAATATTTGATTTGCTTCGTAGAGTTACAGATATCCAAATTTTTTGTGCGAATCGAAAAGGATGACGAATCAAATTAAAATTTACAGCTATTTTTCTGAGTCATACATGTGCACATTAACATGAACACTTATATAACTAAATATTAAATACAAGTGAGGATTTTAATTATCCTAGAAGCTCAAATATTTTTTTTAATATTTTCATTCATCATTGACCAAATTGTAATGAAATAATTATCTTAATAATTTATTTTTCTTTAATTTTTATCTAGATTTAAATTTGATGTTTCATGTTTTTATAAATTATAATATGAAACCATTGGTTTGATATCAAGAATGTCTAAAATTAATATAACATGAAACTAAATAAATAATAATAGTTTTTGGTTATCATTGAAAATTAAAAAAAAACCTCAATCATTTTAACCGAATAAACATAATAAATAGTGATTAAGAATAATAATTACATTTTAGTAAACTAAAAACAAAAATTCCAACCTAAAATGAAACAGACATAATATCTTTTTATCTTAAGAAATAATGAAATTAATAATCTTACAAATTGCCTCTATCTTTCTCTCATCTCTCTCATAGGATGAACATATATACCGACTTGTTGGCAAAGAAAACTATTTCACTTTCCTCTGTAATGGATCCTGGAATGGGCTGAGTTGAGCCTGATACTACTTTTTTTTTTTTTTGACATCAGCCTGATACCACTTTATTTTTTTTTTTGAACATATCCTGATACCACTTTATAATTTTAATAAATATGTTACAAAGTATGTAGGTTTGAATAAGTAAAGGGTTATTACTAAATGACCAAAGAAAAATTCTTGGAGAGAGACAGAGAGAGAGAGAGCTATGTTGTGAATTTAAGGTTTTTGTTTGTATATATGACATAATTTCCCATAAGTAAACAAGTTAGAAGAAATCAAGTAAACTAGTGTGTAAGCGATAAAAGAAATCACAAAACGACATAGCAATTAAAAGAAAACATATGAGCAAAGTGTTTATCTAAGAGAATGAATTATAAAGTAACTACTTGTTCTGTCAACACATACAAGCATAATAATTTAACTAATATATATATATATATATATATATATATATATATAGTTATATTATCAATTAAAATATTGGAAGAAATTATTGTTCATATATTCAAAATATTTAGTAATATTTTTTAAAAAAAATTCTATATACATTGTTTTCATCACAACATATATACTTTTATTACATAAAATAACCTTAGAAACACTCATACATTTGAAATATTTAATATTAAATAAAATATCAAAATTTCAGCGATAAAAATGGTTTTCAGTATAATAAAATTATCTTTTACTGCGTAATATAAGTTTGAAAACATTTATGTATACATAAGATTATATATAAAATATATATGAAGGGATTTGTCTTTTTAATTTTTCTAAAACCATTAAGATGTAAAATATTTGTTTTGCTAAGACAATATAATTTTTTATCTAAAGATAATTATGAGAACAATGAAATTCGTTTTTAATTTATATTAATTATAAAAAACCTAATTATTTTCAAAGTTAATGAAGACATTATTACACAATAAAAATAGTGTTAGGTAAAAATAATTATCAAATAACTAAAATTTATTTTTAATTTATGGTTAATTATATATTAACAAATTTTAATTATTTATTAAAGATATTAACGTTATTAATCACTCTAACTTTTAGGTGTTTCGTTACGAAAAAAATACTTCGCAAATAATAATATCGATGCAAGTTGTTAAACTAAACACTATAATTCTGTAGTATTTAATTATTAAATCTGCTAAACACCTGAACTTGTTTTCTTTTTTTGAAAAATAATCACCTGAACTTGTTACTCTACAAAATAAATGATAAATGTAAATTATGTCCACTGGAACTTAAGTCTCGCAAAACTACAGAAAATATGATACTCTATGTTTCGTATGTTAATTTATGAAACAAAATCTTGTATTGATTGGTGAAACATATATTAGAGAGAAAATTAGAAAATAAGATATACCAATTATATATCTGCTAAATCCATTATCGTTCTCTACGTGGAATATATAAGAATGGAACATATATAGTCAGCACATAGTTTTTACATTTTTGTGATTTCTTTACACGTGATCATGCGAAGATCGATTTTGTGTGCATAAATAGTAGCTATTTTAATGGTGGAGCTTTTTTTTTCCCATCAAATGGTGGATCTATTTTAATGTGCATAAATAGTAGAAAAGTAACATGCACTTCTATATCACCTTTGATTGGTGGTAGACAATGCGAAGTTGTAGTTGTCACTACTTTATATTTATTCTTATGTTGAGTGGATACATGTTTTCATCTGTTATGGTGTTCTGGACCTCTATATAGTGTAGATTGGTTTACTCATTCTCGAGTAATTGAAGCTCACAATAATTGACCAATTTCGATAATTTCAACTTTTGTCAAATTTATAATGATTTGAGATCAAAATTTTACTTCAGTGTTATATATTGTCGGCTTGGCCTTTCAAATTGAATTCAAATTGTCCACGTTCTTTTTTTCTAATGAATATTAAATTTATTCAAGACAAAAAAACATTTTTGTACAATAGGTTTGTCATTGTTTGAAAGAATTAAATTTGTAAAACTACTCTATGCTGTGACAACGATCTCGAACTGATGAAACCGAACTTGACAAAATCAGACCCCATGAAACCAAACATGACGAAGTTGAAACCCGACAAAACCGAATTTGAGGAAACAGAAATGACGACCCAACAAACTGATGAACCAAAACCAACACACCAACAAAATTGATGATCTCGATCATCCGATGATTTTGACGAAAGGACTAACAATAGATTTGAACATGAAGATTAAATTAAAACATACAAATTTGATAGAATACTATTCACAACCTTTCGCTTTTTTATAAATTCATCATTAATGTTATATATATTTTTGTATCTAGGGATTTAATATTTGTGTTTAATAATTTTTAAAAACATATAAACTTTCATAATGCGATAATAAGTTTATATAAATCATTTTATATTCATT